GTGGCCGGCGGGCGGCCAATGGGCAGCGCGCGCCGCCGCCCCTCAAATCAGCGGGCTCAGCCGGCTGTCCCCGGCACGGAGTTGTTTGGCGGCGGGCGGGCGGGCGGTGCAGCCGGGCGGGCGGGAGGAGGAGGAGGAAGAGAAGAAGAAGGGGAAAAGGAGGGGGGTCTCCCCTTTGTTGCATGGGGGTGTCCAGCCGGGGCTGAGGGAAGGCAGGGAGGGGGTCGGTGCCTCCCGCTGCCCCATGGCCCTCGCTGAGGGGGCGGCCGTGCCCTACGCCGTGGAGCTGGGGCTCACCGTGCTCCACACGGCGCTCTACGCCGCGCTCTTCCTCTTCGCCTACCTGCAGCTCTGGCTGCTGCTCTACTACCGCGAGCGGCGGCTGAGTTACCACACGCTCTGCCTCTTCCTCTGCCTGCTCTGGGCAGCCCTCAGGACCACCCTGTTCTCCTTCTACCTGCAGAATTCCCTGCAGGCCCTCCGCCTCCAGCAGCCCTTCGCCCACTGGCTCCTGTACTGCCTGCCCGGCTGCCTCCTCTTCTCCAGCCTCTGCCTCCTCAACCTCTATTTCGCCGAGGTAAGTTTTGCCTTTCGGGCAAAACCCCTCCAAGAATTCTCTTTCCCGCACCTCCACCCTTGCGGGACAGCGGGGCTGGGAGCTCCTCTTCGGCCGCCTCTCCAAACTTGGAGCGCCCTGGAGCCGCGGCTGTGGGGATGGGCACGAGAGCGCCCAGGTGAGGGGCGATGCTGAGGGGCTGCCCCGGCCCGGGCACAGCCTGAGGGCTGCGGGGCTGTGCCCCCAACCCCGGCTGGCCAGGAGGCGCAGGGATTGTGCCCTGAATCCAGCCCTCGGTGCAGACTTTGGGACAGCCCGGGGGGGATGCGGGGGTTGTGCCCTGAATCCAAGCTCGGTGGGGGGAGGCACAGGGATTGGTGTCCTGAATCCAGGCTTGGGGAGAAGCACAGGGATTGTGTGCCCTGAATCCAGCTGGGGGGGCGGGGTGGGATTTGGGGGGGATGGCGTGGGCTGAAAGTGTGCCCAGAACCCCAGCATCAGCGCTTTGGGGTGCAGGGCTGTGCCCTGACTGCAGACCCCGCACGGGGGGACAGCCCCATGCCCTGAATTTGGGACTGGGGGGATGCAGGGAGATGCCCTGCTCCCAGGTGGGCTTTTCCTCCTTGCAGCCCAGACCCACCGTGGGGTGTTTGTTTGTGTGTGTGGTGGGGAGACATCACTTGATGGACTGTTTTGCATCTTTTATTTTTTTTTTAATTGATTCCCCTTCTGCAAAGGGGACCAGAAAGTGGCAGCAGCAGGGGCTGCTCTGGCCTGGAGTGATGCCAACCATTACGTCACCAGCCAGAGCCTCTTCTGCTATTGTTGCTGCGCTCCCTCCTTCCCTCCATCGAGAGCCGGGCTTGTTGTTCCGCGGCTTGTCAGACAAAAAAACCCCGAGATCCCTCACACAACAGCCCGGGGCAGCACAGGGGGGCCCCTTCCCAGCGCCAGCATCGCTGCTGGGACAGCGCGGAGCCGCTTGTTATTGTCACCGAGATGTGTCCCTGCTTCCCTGGGCTTTCCATCACTCGTGTGGTGATTTTTAGCCTCCTTTCCTTAGTCCTTCCACTTGCCTTTATCTCCTAAAGCCCTGGCTCTCCCCTCCCCATCCTCCTCCTGAATATTTTGTTTCTGCTCCAGTTTCTCTTGAGCAGCCCTCTGCTCGCCTGCCTCCCGGTTCGCTGCCTATTTATGAAACAAGTCACCACTTTTTCCTTCCAGCTTTGTTGTTGTTGTTGGGATTCTTTGCACTGCGGCTCTCAGCTGTTCCCCAGCCTCACAAAGGAATGGCCAGCACACGGAAATCTCTCCGTGGCTCCCATGTGTCACCCACGGGAGTTATGATTTCATTTTCCCCAGGACACCAGCATCCACGTGACACTTGGAGCGCTGGGGTTGTTCTGCTGTTCTGCTTCTTTTCCTCCCCTCAATAAACACCTGGAGGTTTTGGGGGTGAGCTGCCTGTTGCAGAAGGTGTTGTTGATGGAGTGGCAGTGGAATAACAAATGGTGCATAGAGTGCACAAATCCCTCTTGTCTGTTTTAAGGCAGCCTGACCTCCCAGTTGCTCCAGGCAGGAGGGGTTGGTGTCCCTTGGAAGGCAGGGATTCTGTGCTCTGCTCCACAGAGTGGCTGGATTTCTGTTTTCCTCTAGGTCACTGGATTTGACAGCAGATTTGCCTCTCTGCAGGCTTGTTTAAAGGTCCTCTTAAAGTAAATCCAAATAGATTCCCAGGCTTCTCCTCCTCCCACGGTATCTGTTTTTCAGTGAACTCTGCATATATCCCACTTCTTTCTCCTTGAAGACCTAGAGCCAAGGGAAATCCTGTCTGAGGAAATAAGAGCTCTGAATCTGGAGTGGGGAAGGATAAAGTGACTTATGAAAATGGGTCTGCTTGCTCAGTTCCAGGGAGGGCCTGACACTTCCCTGGAACAGCCAGGAGGGGTGTCCATCACTCCGTGGGGTTTTTGGGAGATCTCAGTGCTGAAGCCCCAGAGGTTTGGAGAAAAAAGATGGAAAGCCTGGAGCTTTTCTGGCTCCCATGATCTAGAGGTGACTGCTGTGTTTACTGGTGTGATCCAGCAGAACGTGCCCATCCATTCCCAATTTTTAGGGCCCACTTGGCAGCAGGCTGTGGAAGCACACTGATCTTCTGCTGCCCTGGGGGTGGCATCCTGATCTGAGATGTCCTCTGATAAAAGCAGGAGCTGCTGCTGTGCTGAGGGCCTGGCTCATTGTCCCTGTACACAGAGCCTTCTTTGTGGAGATGCTGGAGAAATGGCATCTGGGCAAGAAAATGGCCTGTGCTGATATTTGAGCTGTTCTTGCTTGATTCCCAGAGCTCCTCGGGCAGCATAGAGGCTGAGGCTGGAATGGTGCTGGGGAAGAAGCTCCAGGAAACAGATACCTGTGGAGAACTGGCATTGCTTAACACTCCAGGCTGTTTCAGGGCTGAAATTCAAATTGGCTAAACTGCCTGATGTTCCTCCTTTCTGTGGGGAGAGGCTGTTCTCTTCCTATCCCATCTTGGTCCCTGAGATCCCTGAGGGGATGCAGAGACCTCACAGAATCAGTGTGGGATGTGTATTTATTTTTCATAGAGTCCCAGAATGGTTTGGGTTGGAAGGGACCTTAAAGCTCATCCAGTTCCACCCCCTGCCATGGCAGGGACACCTTCCACTGTCCCAGCTTGCTCCAGCCTGGCCTTGGACACTTCCAGGGGTCCAGGGGCAGCCACAGCTTCTCTGGGCACCCTGTGCCAGGGTCTGCCCACCCTCCCAGCCAGGAATTCCTTCCCAGTATCCCATCCATCCCTGTCCTGTGGCAGTGGGAGCCATTCCCTTTCATTCCATCCCCAGGTCTTTGTCAGGAGCATGGTACATGGAAATGGAAATACATGGAAGGAGCTCAGGGTATTTATCCTGGAGAAGAGGAGGCTCAGGAGGGACCTTGTGGCTCTGCAGAGCTCCCTGACAGGAGGGGACAGCCAGGGGGGCTTGAGCTCTGCTCCCAGGGAAGCAAGGGACAAGAGGAAAAGGCCTCAAGCTGTGCCAGGGCAGGTTTAAATGGGATATTAGGGAAAAATTCTTCATGGAAAGGGTTGTCAGGCATTGGAAGGAGCTGCCCCGGGAGGTTTGGAGTGCCCATCCCTGGGGGTGCCCAAGAAACCCCTGGAGGTGGCACTCAGAGCTCTGGGCTTGTGACAAGGTGGGAATCAGGCACAGCTTGGAGCTGATGGCCTTGGAGGTCTTCTCCAACCCAAATGATTCTGTGAAATGCAGCCACAACAGCCTTGATCCTAAAGACCTTCCTGAGCCCTTGGCACCCCTGGTTGTCCTGGCAGTCAGCAGCTGGCACAGGGATGGGTAAGGAATGCTGATGGTGTGGCCAGAGCCCTTCACCTGCCTGGGCTGCTCTGAGTGCTCCCTGTGAGGAGATGACATCAGCCCCTTCATCCCTTCCTGCTCTAATTGCACTGGAGACAGCGCACCCAGCCTGGGAGATGTTTGTCTTTACTGTCCTGCATCTTCCTGCTTCCTCAGCTGGAAAGCTGGGAAAATCTCCATCCTTCATTTCCCATTTTCACCCTCCGTGTGTAGCAGACAGCTGGCAGTGCCCTGTGCCTCGGAGGGACAGCTGGTGAGGGATCACTGAGCCTCCAAACTCTCCATCCCATCACTGATGGTTCCCATGTTCCCCACATGAACAGGCGGCCCTGCTGGGGACCAGCTATTCTAGGAAAGGAGGGAACATGCAGAGTTGCAGCCTGTGTTCAGGATGGCATGGAATGATCTGGATGCTAATATGAGGATGGTGAGAGATCCTCCTGGACAGCTTTTCCCTTGTGGGTTGAAGCTGGGGTTTGCACACTTGGTACGAGGTGTGATCCCAAAATAGTCTGTGCTGTGCTCCCATTACCTCGTGTGGTGAGGAGGGGGATCTGTCTGGGGATGCTCCTGCAGCTGAGCTGTGTTGGGGCAGGGCATGGTTGTGTCTTGTGTCTGCAGAGCCCAAATTTGTGTTTTCATGAAGCAAAAAAATAATTTGGTTCTAGTGGACAACAAGAAGTTCCTGGATCTTTCAGGTCTGCTGAAAAGTAGCTTGGTTTTGGTCCAGCCTAAGTGCCTCACTGTAAAGTTTAAGATCCTGCCTTGTGCAGACACTGGGAGTGGTCCTTGGATTCATCTGTGGGATCTGGGACGTGTCACTTTTCCTCCCTGAGCAGCTGTGACACCTCCAGTGCACCTTCTAAGGGTGAGTGTGTCTCTTGAACACACCCTAGGGGCTCTCTGGGCTGTGATGTGAGCCAGGAAATCACTTTTGTGAAATAAACCCACCCAAAAGCCTCCAGCACCACGGAGGGCTTTGGGGTCTGGAGCTCATTTCAGCCTCACCTTCTGCCTGATGGGGAGTGCTCGAGGGATCCATGGCTCTGGAAAGGCACCTGAGCATTCCAAACTGCTGTAAAAGAATTGCTCAGAGGAAATGTTGCCAGCCCTGCTGCTCTGTGCTGCTGAGACCTCTGTTCCCTGTTTTCATGCTTGATTTCTGGAGCTGGGCTCAGCTCAGATTTGAAGGAACTGTTCAGTTTTCAAGGATTGCTGCTCACAGCTTGGCCTAATGCACCTGCTGAAGCACAGGGATCTATTTTTTCCTGTTTTTCTGAAGAACAGGAGTGCTCCTGAGCTCTCTGTGCTGGATTTTTCACAGCAGAACCCTCTGCCTGAGCTGTCCTTGGGCTCTGGGAGCAGCAGAGCCCCGTGCAGGAGGCTCAGAGCTCATCTCAAGGATAAGAACCCAGAGACACCCTGTGCACTCTGCTGGTGGCACCTCCTGACCCAGTCCCTGGGAAGGAAAAGCAACCTTCAGATAACTTATCAGCCTTAATAACCAAAACCACCCAAGCAGTTCTGGCTGTTCCCTCCTGAAGTTATAGGAATAACTACCCAGGGCTAATAAAAGTGTGAGGCTGGAGCTGTGGTCTCCCTCTGCTTTCCATGGCAGCAGGCCAAGCATGAGGCTCAAATTGCTGTTGCACTCTTAACCCTGACTCAGCTTTGTGTGCCTTCATCCCTGGGGCTGCAGGGGAGGGTTTGGGAAGAGTGTCCTGCCCAAAACAGCATCTTCTGTGAGCCAGGAGCACTTCCCTGCTCAGCTGAGGGGCTGTTCTCAGCTGGGAGCACGACATTCCCAGCTGGAATACGAGCCAGGGACTCTGCAGGGCTGTTCAGAGGCTGAGGTTACAGCAGGAGTGCAGATTCCTCAGTGGATTTCCATGCTGCTGGAATGGGTGCTGAACCAGGAGTTTCCCAGCTGGATGTCACCAATGCCCGTTTTGACAGGGCAAGAGGAAAACAGCCTCAAGTTGTGCCAGGGAATATTTAGATCCTAAGTGGATGTTAGGGAAAAAATTCTTCACTGGGAGGGTGGTGAGGTGTTGGAACAGGCTGCTCAGGGCAGTGGTGGAGTCCCCAGCCCTGGAAGTGTTCAAAAAACTCGTGGATGTGGCACTTCAGGGCATGGTTTAGTGGTGAATGTGGTGGTGCTGGATTAATGGTTGGGCTTCACCTTGGAGGGCTTTTCCAGCCTCAGTGATTCAGTGATTCCATGACACTCCCAAAGTGCCTGAATGTCACCCACAGCAAACAAGGGAGGATTCAGGGATATTTCTCTTTTGGAGTCACCACATGGCTCTTCCCAAGGCTCAGTTTCTTGTAGATGAGATGAGTTGTAGAGCTCAGGGTGGATTGTGCCACACTCCTGTACTTCTGTGTGCCAGGACAGGGGGACAGAGAGCATTCCTGAGGCTGGATACCTCCCTCTGCTGAGGAACCACGTCTCATTCCTCACGAAGTTAAGCTCATCCTTCCTCAGGAAGAGGAGCCAGGCAGTGGAAGTGGCTCTTGGAAGAGAATCACTGAAGCTGTCCAATGTCCTTTGAAATGCCTGGAACCACTGCAGTGGCTCAGACAACCCTCAGATCCTGAAATGTCTCTGGAAATCCCCTTGGCAGCAGCCTGATTCCTGAAGCTCATGTGCCATTTCTGCCTCAGTGCTGGCTTGGAAGCAGGAGCCAAGGAATCCCACCAGGATAAAAGCTGCCTGGGAGGAGAGGAGTGATCCTTCACTGCTGACAGGGAAGGCTCCTTGTGGGAGAAGGGAAATTCAACCTCCACAGCTGTGCAGTGATCCCACAAATGCAGGTGGGATCACTCTGGATGTGACTGTGCCTCTTCCCAGGTTCCTTCAAAGTCTCAATCAGGACATGAGCTTTGCCTGTGGCTGAGTGTGACCCAGCTCTGGGATCCTTCCTGGTGGGGTCTGGATCTGGAGCTGGGCACAACCCAGTTCCTGAGCAGTGTGAGCACAGGTTCCCTGTGCCTTTGCAGCAGGAATTCACATCTCAGCTGTGATTTGGGAGTATCTGCACCTTCCTAAACTGTCCCTGCTCCTCTCACATGGAAATCCAGCATGGCTGAGGTCCTAAAATAGCCCGAAACACTGGGAAAAGGAGATGTATTTTTGAAGGATGTTCAAGTGCTAAACTCCCTTCTTTTCTTGAGGTCTTCAAGGTGTGGTGTTATAGTGCTTGTCATATATGAGGTGTTAAATATGTTTGTGATTGTTGGGAAGCTGTATTTGGGCTGGGCTTGTACAAGGAAAAAGTAGAATTCTTTTGGGTCCAGAGCAAGAGTTGGTGCTAATAAATGATCCAGAGTCCTTGGAGATGCCAGCTGGATTCTGACTTCCCTGTTTATCTCTTGACAAAGTTGAAAGGAAACCTAAAGTAACCCTGTGCAAATCTTTCTTCCAGGTCATATTCAAAGTGAAATGTGCAGCTGAATTCAACAAGTACAAGTAAGTGCTGCTGTCCTGACCTTCCCTTCAAAGCTGGTCCCGGGGGAACTGGCTGGGAATGGGAGGGTCAGACCCCAAAAGCTGAACAGAGCTCTAATTCCACACCTGTGCTCTGAGAAAGGAGCAGAGTTGCACCTTGGAGCAGGACTGGGAGCTTCAGGGGTGCCAGAGGAGCTCAAGCATCCCAGTTCCCCTGGGTGGAGTCCTGGGGTCACTCTGAGCTGTCCCAGCCCAGAAAGATCTGCAGAACAAGGCCTGAGCAATGGGTGAGCCCCAGGTTTGTGCAGCCCAGGTGCTTCCCAGGAAAACCCAGGGTGGAAAATGCAAGCTCCAGTGGCTCTCAAGAAAGGAGTTGCAGTGGTTGTGATGACTCATGGCTTATTGACTGGAGTTAATGCAGAGCTGGAGCAACACTTAAAATCTGCAAGATAAGAACCTGACTGTCAGAAGATGAGTCTTGTAACTCATGACTGCTTACGCTGCTCATGTGTTATGAGAGCAGCTCCAACAAATCCTCTGCAGCCTCGGGCTGCCAATACAACCCCTGAAATTTGCTGGAATGCCTGAGCTTCCCTGCAGGCAGAGCCCTGGGAGGCTCTGCTGAGACAGGAGGGAGGTGCAGAGTGAACCTGGCCTTGTCTCACTGACCATTTTCCCCCTCACCATGTCTCCAGGGTCCTGTTGTACCTGGGCTCCATGCTCACCAGCCTCCTGTTCCTGGTTGTGAATTTGACCTGTGCAATGCTGATCCACGGCGAGGTCCCGGAGAAGCAGCTGAGGTGGACGCTCCTGGCGCGGGCTCTGGTCAACGACAGCCTCTTCATCCTCTGTGCCATCTCCCTGGCCTGCTGCATGTGCAAACTGGGAAAGATGTCTTCAGCCAACGTCTACCTCGAGTCCAAGGTGGGTGAATGCCTTGGGAATTCCCACTGGGACTGCTCAGCTGGATCTGGCTGTGCTCACTCAGGGCAGCGCTGGCCTGGTGGCACCTGAGCTGCTTTTGCTCAAATTTTCCTTCCAGTGTGGAGGTGGCAACTCTTGGATTCCTCCCTTTCACAAAGTGCATGCTCCTGCTGTGGGAGTGATGTTTCCTGCATGTTTTAGGGGAATACTTTGTCTGCAGCTTTGGCATAACAGATTTATGAGCTGCTTCTGCTTTTCAGGCACAAAAGATCCCAGCTTTACCTTGAGCAGAGGGTTCTCTTAGAGCAGCAGATGCAGTTTTGGCTGTGTATTTTACCTGTAGCAGGTGTGTCATGATTCCCTGCAAAGAAATCCAGTTTTAGCTGGACTCTGCTTGGGTAGGATGAGATGAGCATTTTGGAATGGGAGCAGAAGTTGCTCTAGGTCCTCTCCCAAAGCAGGACAGGTGAGGGTCTGAACACACACAGCTCTTTTCCAGCAGATAGGAAAGTAGTAAAGCCACCAGCAGTGTGGCAGGAGGCTGCAGTCAGTGTCCACTTGAGTGCCTGGAAACATTTAGAGGAAAAACCAGAGCACCTGAGCATAGCCAGCTATGCTACAGTGAGGCAGGGGCAGAGAAGCTGCTCACATCCCTGCTGGCCTGGGCCTGGTATCCAGCTCTGACTGGCTCTGGACACTCATTAACTCACCCAGTTCCTCCAGTGCAGGAGCTTCCTCTCCTCACATGCCCGAGGCTGCCCCTGGGCTGTGTACAACGTGCTCCAGGGAAGCCTCTGCTCTGCACTTGGATACTCACCCTGGCTGTCTGCTGAAGGTGCCTGCCTCCCTCCCCTGCCCTGGGGGCATCCTCTGATGCTGTGTTGGGGAAATGGCTGCAGAAACAGGCTGGGGCTGAGCAGAAATGTTGCACAGGTGCCCCAGAAGGTTATCCTGCCCCTGAACTCAAAGGCACACAGCAGGGCACACAGGCACACAGCAGGGCTGGAGGCTGCTGCCTCCACACTGAAGGTGGGAGCACGGGAGCTGTGGGAAGGAGTCTGGACTGCAGCCAGCTCCTGTCCTGGGGTCCTTGGGAGCTGGAGATGTGCTTCAGCAGCCTTTGTGCCTCATTGTGCTGGCCTGAGGATCCCAGGCTCAGCTTTCAATGGCAGCAGGATGTGTGCTGGGCTTCAGGGTTGTCACTTGTCTGTTGGCACCTCTCTCCTGCTGACTCTCTCAAGACACTGTTCTGAGCTCCAGATCTAGGAAAATAGAGCTGGGATGTGGAGCAGACCACTGGGATGAGCTTCCCCAGCAGATTCTCTGCTTAAACACAAAGGCAGCTCTGGTGTTGAAGGGTGTTTGCCCTTCACTGTAACTTGCTGCCTCCCTGCATCCATTAAAGGGATTCATGGATGGATTTAACAAAACCTGGTTTGTCTCAGCATTCCTGAATGGTTTGAGTTGGAAGGGATCTTAAATCCCATCCAGTTCCAATCCCCTGCCATGGGTTACCTTTAACTATCCCAGGCTGCTCCAAGCCCATCCAGTCTGGCCTTGGACACTTCCAGGGATCCAGGGGCAGCCACAGCTTCTCTGGGCACCTTGTGGCAGGGCCTCAACTCCCTCACAATCAGGAATTTATTCCCAATATCCCATCTAACCCTGCCTTTTGTCTGTTTGAAGCCATTCCCTTGTCCTGTCCCTCCAGGCCATTGTAAATGGTCTCTCTCCATCTTTCCTGTGGGCTCCAGTTCTGGGTCTTTCTGCCCGCCCCAAATACTTGAGCTTCTTTCCCAGACAAACACTGAGTGCAGTGTTGGAGTGCTGGGTGGCTGCAAGTGAAAGGGCTGGGTGAACACCTCTGCAGGGTCTGGGCTGTGAAGCAGAAGTTGATTTTCCTGCTGGTTAGTTGTTGGCCTCGTGGAGATTCCCAGAGGAAGGCAGGGAACAGCAGGAGTAGCATCTCCCTGGACCCCCAGTTTGCAGCTGACTGACAAAGTCCTGCCAGGACACTCCAGTGCCTCAGATCCTTCCCTGCTCCCAGGCAGCTCTGGCTGTGTGGCTTCTGCAATGAACTCATCACATGAGAAAGCTCTTACCCAGCTCTGAATATTTTAGCAACAACATACAAATGTTCTGGGTCATTCTTGCCTGCACAGCTGCTCATGCATTTAAGGGAACGGGGAAGAACATCACGGCTCTGTATTAAAACTCTTTTTATTTCTTCCTGTCCTAGGGAACATCTGTCTGCCAGGCTATTCTGGTGGGATCTGTAGTGGCCCTCCTGTATTCCTCAAGGGCTTGCTATAACCTGGTAGCTGTGGCCATATCTCCAGACAATGTTCCTGGTCCTTTTAATTACGGCTGGGACAACCTTTCAGACAAGGTGAGTGTGTGACCCCAAATCCAGAGCCAGTGAAATGCAGTCACTCTTCATCCTGTGAGGGTGAGCAGGGGGCTTGGGGGGGTGTCTGGGTAGCTGAACCCCCACATGAGCTGCCTTTCTGCTGTGCTTGCTCTCTGTACCCAGCAAACCTGAGTCCTCCTCTCTCCCCAGCCACTCCTTCAGGAAGGATTCCCCGTTGTGCTCTTCCCTTTCAGCCTGCCAACTCTTCTTGTGAGGGAGAGGAGGGACAGCTCAACTAGAGCAGAACAGCAATGCTTAATCGGGCATGGCAGTGTGTGAGGGGGAGTCCCTGGTGTGGGCAGCGAGCTCCCAGTGCCCTGGCAGCACCCTCTGAGCAGAACCTGCTCACCCACACCAGCAGCAGCAGCCAGGTGAAGGTCACTGTGCTGCTTTGGGGACTCCTGCCTTTGGAAAGATTTCTCTGCTCTCCCAGTTCCAGCTTTTGGGAGCTCTGTGGGTGGCTGGGATGACACAGACCCCTCTGCCTTGTGCCCACAGGTGCACGTGGAGGTGAGCAGTGAGGAGTACGTGGTGTTTGGAGTGGTCCTGTTCCTCTGGGAGCTGGTGCCAACCACTTTCGTGGTGCTGTTCTTCCGCGCTCAGAGACTGAGCCAGAACCTGGTAGGCCTGAGCGAGTCCCCCTGTGCTGGGAGGGTGCCTGGGATGACTTTTGGGAATGTTTTGCTTCTGGCCTAACTCCTTTCTCCTTGGCAGACTCCAGCAGGGATGGTCAACAGCCACAGCTACAGCTCCAGGGCCTATTTCTTTGACAATCCCAGGCGCTACGACAGCGACGATGACTTGTCACGGCTCGGGGCCAGGGAAGGAGGGTAAGGAAGGGTTGTGCTGCTGCTCTGCTGCCCTCTGGGGCAGCACCAGAGATCCTGGCTTCTGCTCCTAGGAAAAACTTCGGTGGAAGAGGCAGCTTGGGCGAGGTAGATGGGTCAGGGAGCCTCTGACAGAGCTTTTGTTGCCTTGTGCAGCTCACAAGGAGCTGTTTTGATTGGGCAGAAGTGACCAGCTCAGTGAGGTGGATGGTGCTCACAGGTGGTGATTGCAATCAGGAGACCTCATCCAGGAGGGCAGGGATCCATTTCAGAGGGCTCTGAAATGATCTCCAGAGGGGTTTCTCCACTGGGAAGTGAGAGCTGGTGATGTTCTGGAAGGGAGCTGGGACAAAGCTCTGCAGGAAATGCTGGTGTGGGGGACAATGGTCAGGTATCCCCAGCAAAACTCTTACAAGGCATCCTGGCAGCCCTGTCACCATGGAATCATGGAATGGTTAGGGCTGGAAGGGACCTTAAAGCCCATCTTGTTCCACCCCCTGCCATAGGAAGGGACACCTTCCACTATCCCAGGCTGCTCCAAGCTCTGTCCAACCTGGTCTGCAACACTTCCACTTCACTTCCAAGTCCCCTCACAGTTGGAATAAATCAGCTGAGACTCCATTTCCTTCATGCAGAAAGCCAATTCTTTATTCTTTGCAGGAAATATCAGCCCTGTGTTAAACCTAATTGGCCAGCAATGCAGTGAAACTCAGTTCACTGGTCAGTAAGGGCTATTGTATATGTCTGTCAAATTTTCTCTCTAGATATGTTTACATTTTTCCTTTGTGGAGTCTCATGGGACAAATCTTATTATTTACACAGGTGCATTTGTTTTTCACCCTCAGAATAGAATGTTGTGTTAAAGGAACTTCTGATTCTCAAAATAGCTTCACATGGCAACTTGCAAATTGCTTGTTAGCTGCACTTAGAAGAAATGACAGGCCAGCTTTGGCAATTTGGTTTCATAAGGCCTTTCTTTCATAATTCTTCTACCTGTCTACAACATCTCACCCTTTTCATTAATTTTTAAAAGGCTCTGTTCTGATCTTAAAACAGCTTGCTCTTGGGAGGGTATTATCTCATTAAGGTTATCACTGGTTATCTATTAGATATGGGATAAAAGACTGATTACAATCAACAAAGCTTATCAAATTCTGTCATGTCATTGACACAGGATTTTGCAGCATGAGAAAACAAAAGAATAATGTCCAGTGTCTCTTAGGGAAATGAAGATAAATGACCATTGCTTTAAAGTCAAATAGTTGAGGCTCAGGAGAAAGTCCATTAGCTGGAAATGTTGATCTTTGACATCACTGAATGTCCTCCTGGATCCTGGAACAGGGAATAGCTGAAGAAGGTTGGTAGGAACACTATCCTGTGATGATGACATGAAGCTTTTGTTGGCAAATTGCCTCTGTATTTGCAGACACAGCCGAGTCTTGGCAGTCCTGGTTCTGTTCCTGTTCTGGCCACGAGGGCTGCAGGGTGATGAGGTTTCTCTTTCCACTGGGCCTCATTTTCCCAGAGGTGATCAGTGATTGATCTGACAGGTGACCACTTCAAACCTGCTGCTGATAAAACACAAGCACGCCCTCTCTTGAAGTCAGTGAACCAATTAGGCTTTGCTAATTGAGGCACACTCAATTGGGATTTAGATTTGATGATCTTTTTTCCAAATTTCTAATGCAAATATTGCATTATTCAAAATTCTTTGTCTAAATTTCTAATGTACATATTACATTATTTGGATGTTCTTAAGGCACTAAATTCACCTTTTTTTTTTTTAATGAGATGCTTGTCTTTGGTTTTGAGCATGAGGAAACATCAAGGCAAAACCATACATGTAGTGAACAAGAAACTGACAGCAATCAGGAGTAAGCCAGGTACAACAATTAAGACTACTTCAGCTAATACACATAATTAATAATACACGTGAAATTAGGTAATTAGGAATCTCTGAAATACTGTACCATCATGCCAGAGTCTGTGAACAGCTGACAAACCTCAATTTAGTGAGAGCTTGGATAATTATTTCCAGATAATAATTCCCAAGCTCACTCTAAAGATAGGTTCAGCTGTCATATATAAAGGGTCAAATTGCCAAGTCAAAGTGACCTGAATCTAGTTTTGATGCAGAAAACATTGGGTTTATTGACAAATTCTCCTTCCAGGTAGAGCTAAGGCCTGGCCACAGCCCAAGCTCCATCTGGGAGGGAATTCCCTTAACACATTTTTAAAAACAAGGCTCTTAAGAATAGCAGTTATGAGTAAAGGCCTTGGGGTTAAAGACTAATCAAACCACCTAGTAGTTGGATCCCTCCAAAGTTTCCTTCAGGATAGAGATGCTTCAAACACAGCAGACTTCTGGAGTGCTTCTGTAATAACTGGGAAAACCACAAGACTGGCAGTTCAGAGGCGGCTTTCAAGGAAGCTCAAATATCTTTTCTTGGATCTCTGAAAAACACTTAAAATTGAGACAGCATTGGGTCAAACCATGGAGCCAGTGCAGGGACTTAGCCAGAGAACTGAGCTGATTAAGAGATGCATAAGCAGTTAGAGAACAGAAAAGAAGGATCCTGAAACGCCACGAGTCTTTTAGATAATTGCACAAAGAGATGTTAAAGCATATAGCAAGCTGTCTATAAATACAGTAATAACATCTTATGAATGATGCCTAGTATAAAATCAGTAAGTTCACATCATGTAATCAATATATCAGTGGTAACCCTCTTAGGAAGTTGAGATAACACCTTTCTAAACAGTCATGTACCTATGACAGCAAAATGTAACAAAGGAAAGCACTACAACAGCTTCCAATCAACAACAGCCATAATGGAGAATCATCACTGACTCTTCTGTGTTTTCTGTGGAAGATAAAACAGCAGAGATTGTAACGAGCAATCGAATCTTCACAAAATCCAGGGTGAACACCCTGTATCTTCTTTATCCACAAACAGGTGTTTGTCAGTGTTTCATCACAGCTGTTCTAGTCAGTCATCTTATCTCTTAAAAGAAAACAGCTTTATATCTTACAGCATAGAAAGGTAGTATTTAATTATCTTAGATTGCAATGCAAGATGTAACCAGATGTATTCTATCACCAGCTGTTAAAACCAGGTGGGGCAGTTTTCTTTATCTCTTCCACAACTGATCCTCCCTTCAGGAGATGTCTTTTGTTAATGGGCCATTAAGTGTCCCTGCATGACTGATATAGTGACACAATCCCATTGGGAGATGCTCCACCCAGGGGGAGGAGCCAAAGCATTCCTGCCTGGATATAATCTGAGGCTTGGAACACCACAGCTGCCTTTTTCCACTGGGTTTCCAGAGGAGCAGCCTTTTTCCACTGGATTCCCAGAGGAAGACCAGACACCATTGGACCTTCAGAGGACAACTACAGCCTTCTACAGGATCACCCCTTCAACAGAACCACGTTTGTCATTCCAGGAAGACTGCAGCCACTGTTTAATTCCGATGGCTACCAACATCCTGACCAACAGGGTGTCAGGTTGTATTCAGGCTTTGTCTGCTTCAGCAGTATCATTTTATTTGTGAGCTAATTATTTCTAAACTTTGAGGAACTACTGCAGATAAAATTGAAGGTTATAGGACTTGGTTAAGAAATTAATTAAAAATAATCTTGGGAGAAGAGGAGAGCTGCAGGCACACAGGGTAGCGGGAGGTGTGAGTGGGATGGAGACGATCCTGGAGCAGCAGCGGTGGTACCATGAGGAGCAGGAGCGGCTCATGGATGTGATGGTGAAGGAGATGCTCACCAAGAAGTCCAGGCTCCATGACCAGATCAGCTCAGACCACGGCATCCGGGCCATGCAGGACAGGTACCTGGAAGTGAGCGGCAACCTGCAGGATCTGTATGATGACGAGGAGGGCCTGCGTGAGGAAGAACCTGGAGCCATTTCCGGGTCAAATGAATTTGTGGAGTTTTACAACAGACTGAAGCAAATCAAGAAATTTCACCAGAAGCACCCACATGAGATCTGTGTTCCTGTGTCAGTGGAGTTTGAGGAGCTGCTGAAGGCCAGAGACAACGTGAGTGAAGACGCTCAGAATCTGGCGGAGTTCACAGATGAGGAAGGGTATGGACGATACTTGGATTTGCATGATTGTTACCTCAAGTACATTAACCTGAAATCATCAGAGAAATTGGATTATATCACTTACTTATCCACATTTGTCCAACTCTTCAATATTCCCAAGGAGAGGAAAAAATGCTGAATATAAGAGGTATCTTGAAATGCTCCTTGAGTACCTGCAGGATTACACAGATTGAGTGAAACCATTACTGGACCAGAATGAACTTCTTGAGAAAATTCAGAAGGAGTTTGAGAAGAAGTGGGAGAATGGCACATTCCGAGGCTGGCTGAAAGAGACCAGCAGTGCCCTCACCCGTGCTGGTGCCCACCTGGACCTCTCAGCCTTCTCCTCCTGGGAGGAACTGGCCTCCCTGGGACTGGACAGGTTAAAATCAGCTTTGCTGGCTTTGAGGCTGAAGTGTGGTGGGACTCTGGAGGAGCGTGCTCAGAGGCTTTTTAGCACTAAAGGCAAATCCCTGGAAGCACTTGATCCTTCCTTGTTTGCTAAGAATCCGAAGACAAAGGGAAGCAAGAGAGACACTGAAAGAAATAAAGATCTTGCGTTCCTGGAAGCTCAGATTTGTGAGTATGTGGAAGTTCTTCAGGAACAAAGACACCTCACCCACGAGAATGTGCAGCGTAAGGAGGCACGGACAGGGGAGGAGAGAGAGGAGGAAGAGGAAGAGCAGATCAATGACAGCGAGAGTGAAGATGAAGAAAATGAAATCATTTATAACCCAAAAAATCTACCTCTTGGTTGGGATGGGAAGCCCATCCCATACTGGTTGTACAAACTCCATGGTCTGAACATCAACTACAGCTGTGAGATTTGTGGTAACTCCACCTACTGAGGGCCCAAGGCATTCCAGAGGCACTTTGCAGAGTGGAGACACGCCCATGGCATGCAGTGCCTGGGCATTCCCAACACAGGGCACTCTGCCAACGTCACACAGATTGAGGATGCAGTCTCTCTGTGGCAAAGCTGGAACAGCAGAAGGCTTCAGAGAGGTGGCAGCCCGGTACAGAGGAGGAATACAAGGATTCCAGTGGGAACGTGGTGAATAAAAAGACCTACGAAGACCTGAAGCGCCAAGGGCTGCTGTAGCTGTCCCCAGGTGAAGGATCACACATCTGCAGAGGAGTGGATCTGGCAGCAACTCTGACTTCTTCAGTGTCTGGATTTTGTATGTGCATGAATGTAGATTTCAAGAATACTTTATAGAGTCACTTTCTAGTAAACCCCTTGGACATCGCTTATATAAAAAAAAAAAAACAAAACAAACAACAACAACAAAAAGGAACAGAGGTGCAGTGGCCAGGCCATGTGTTGGGACAGGGGAGGTCTGCCACACCACCCCATATCTACAACAGGTCTCTTAGATGAACAGCAATTAAATATAGATCAGCTGATTTCAGATAAATGGGCAGGCACTGCCCCAAAAAGGGGGGAGGAGGGCTCAGCTGCCCCATGCCACCACCAGCTAGGGAAGGGAAAACTCTGTGACACTGTCCTGCGCTGCTGCACCTCTGTTCTCCCCACTAGAACACTTGTGGTTGAAAAAGAGGAGGGGGAAAAAAGCAATAAAAAACAAACCCTGAAAACTGCACACGGTAAGAGGAAAAATACCAAAAGACAAATGTAGAAAACTCAAAAGTCGCCAAGCGCCTGCAGCTCTCCTCTTCTGTTTTGGAGTCTGCGAGTTCCACAGGGGCCACTGACCAAGGGGCCCAGCCCTGGTGGAGCCACTGGGTCCAGAAAGAAGCTTTGCTGTAAAAATACTGTCCAGCCACCTGCAGTTTGAGTTCTGCTGGAGGATGGGACCCACTCAGCCACCCGTGCACCATCTGGGGGGTAACTTCATCCTGACAGAGGTAATTTTGCACAAGCACGCAACTGAGTTCTGGTTCTGGGCTCCTGGTTCTTCATTTGTTTCTCCACATGGTTTGGCTCTTGCTGCCCCTACTGCTGTGTCTGGGATAGAAGGGAAATGACTGACACGTGTCCATGTCCTCCCAAGCATCTGCACGCAGGGACACACACAGACACTGTCCCAGAACCAGGGTGTAGGCTCAGGCTCCACTAAATACATTCACCAAATTGGGGACCAGTCCCTGCACCACACAACACAGTAACAAAGGTGTCAGCATAAATTTATTGTACTTTCTCCTTTTCCCAACATATTTTGCCTCTTCTGACTCACAGTTTGGCTTTCTTTCTGTGGCGTGTACGTTCCTGTGCAGTCACTGCTCCTGTGTGCCATTTCCACACCACTGTTCTATTCTGCAACTTCTTTCCTCACACCTTAGCAGCTGACTGTTCACTCACCATGGTTCTTGAGACTTGTCTCCACCAGCAGCTCTTCGGCTGCCTCACCTTCCAGGCCTCTCTTTCGCCTGCCTAGCTCCCAAGGTTTGGAGACCACATTTGCGTTCTGCAGCTCTCAGTTTGTTTCTCACACTTTCTCCAAGGAATTTTGTTCATTTCCATGTGTTCCACGCCCTCTGCAGCCCCATGCACTCACTGCCCGGGTTCTGCTTCACCGCTGCCTCTTGTCTTTGCTTGTTCCATCTGCAGCCCTAGCCTTTTGCTACTTTGTAAATTCATTGCTTGAATTTCTTTTCCTGCTGATCCTGCGGCCAGCGGTGCTGCCGGTGGTTGTGTCCATGTGCTGTGTCTTGTCTCACTGCTCTTCACTCTTACCTCGGCCATACTCATGGCCAGCTCCATCTTCCTTTCATGACTTTGTGTATTCCATCTCTAAACCCTGTCTCACTGCCTGGTCCTGGGGTCAGCTTGGCTCCTTTCACCTTTTTTGCGACAGGCTGTTCATCTCGCTTTGGTCAAGTCTTTGGGGGTCTCCATATGGAGATCTGTCGACAGAATTTCACACTGCTGTCTTTCTTAGTCCAGAAACCGATGAGAGCTGTACAACAGGCATCAGTAGGACTCCTTTTTCTGTGCCTCCTTATCTTATCTATTATGCTGATACTCTGTTATTCAGTCACTAGATGTTTAGCAACTTGACCAAAAGCACCTTTTTTTTTTTTTTTTTTTCCCTTGGTCTGGTCTTCAAGATGTTGGCAGCTAAATGCACCAGAGCTTCCTCACTAGAAAAGAAACATCAAATGCATATTTGCACTTTTATCTGCACACTTTGGAAGGAACGGATCTCGCTCGGGCTGTGCTTGGCCTGAGACTGTTCTAGTTACTGTTTTAATTGCACATCCAGAGCTGGGAGAGGCGCTGTCTTCTGCAAAGACGTGTTCCCTGAAGGACTCTGCATCCTGCCTCCCTGGCAGCTGTCTGGGCAGGGCCCCCGGTGCTGGATGCTGGAGTTTACTGTGCCATATTCCCACCTGGCAGGGCTGGGTGAGGCCCTGGGGCTCGGGGGGTCTTGCCCTGCCTGCTGGTCCCACCTGGCTGCTGCCCCGTCCTACCTGGGCCTGTGGCTCAGAGCTGAGTGAGGTCAGTGTTGCTGCTGGCCCGTGGCTGAGGGACAGGGCTGGCTTTTCCCTGCAGGGAGAGGCTGGAGCTGGCTCAGCAGGAGTGTGTGTGCAGGAATGTGTGTGGATCCAGGGCTGCTGCACCCCCTGGGTGCCGGGAGCAGCCCTGCTCCCCCTCCTCGTTGCCCACAGTGGGGCTCCCCTCGTCCCCCTCAGTATTAAATTGCATTTAGCAGATAGTCAAGAGTTTTAACCTGAAGTGAATGTGAACTGCTGGGTCCCCACTGAGGTGCAGGGGGTGTGTGGCTGCCTGTGGAACGTTGCTGCTGCAGAGGGAAGGGGCAGAAACCAGAGGGATCTGATCCTTGGGCTCCTTGCTCTGCCCTCCCCGTGCACCTGGGGCCTCCCAGGGCTGGGAGTGCTGGGTCAGGCTGGGACAGGTCCCTCTGTCTTTCCTTATCCAAAATAGCCAAGTTTGACCTAGCCTGGGCTCTTTGGAGATATGAGGCTTGGTGTTATTCCTGGCTTGTCCCTGAGCCAGCTGTGGGGATGAGCAGAGCAGCTTTGGATAAAGGCACTGGTGCAGGGAGGGAGCTGCTCTGACCATGGGGCAAATCCACCCTGGGAGTGCTTTTAACCAGCCCTGGTGTGACACTGGGGACAGGGAATGCTGTGCTGGGACCACAGCTGGGAGCTGGAGGGACTCTGAGAGCTGTGAGAGCAACCCCAGCCTGGGGCATCCTCAGCAGCCTGATTCCCTCACGCCTGGGGCTGTGCTGAGCTCCTGTCACTTGTCCCACTGCCCTGTCCCTGAGTGTGGCCTGTGCTCACCTCCTGCTGGCCCAAAAAAGCAAGTCCTGCTTCTTTTTTGGAGATGGCAGCTCTGAGCACAGCCCTTGCTGGAGTCCCTGCCCCAGAGCTCCCCTGGCTCCTGGCAGGGACAGGCTGCTCCACCTCAATCCCTGCTTGGCTTATGGCAAAGCTGGTCCAGGGCCAGCCCCTGCCACCCTTCCTTCTGCTCCCATAAGTCTCCAAAGACAGCAAGTGACACTCGTGGCCCCTGTTCTTGCTTAAATTCCAAAGCACTAGGAGCACTTTAAGTTTTACTTTGGAGGGAAAGGAGTGTAGTGCAAAAAAGAAAAAAACATTTAAAAAACCTACAAAATCCAAGGGCTACAGGCTCATTGTTCCTCTTGCACTGAAGCACACACCCACACTACGATCTTCCTGGATTTTTTGGGAGGGCAGGTCAGGGCAGTGAGCCTCGTTGCTGATGGGTTTGGGTTTTCCTCCTCTATCCCACCTGACCGCTCCTCCCGGGGGCGGTCCCGTGTTTTACTGAACTCATTTATAGCTCAGAAGTTACAAGGACTTTTTTAATGCATAGTTGCCTTTCATTAAACTTTCTTTTTGGTTTTGTTTTGTTTTGGTTTTTTTTGGTGGGTTGTTTTTGTTTTTTGGTATGGTTTAACAGTGTTCTGGCTTTGCAGCTGCTGCCCCGGGAGCTGTGGCCAATGAATGTACCTATTTGTTCTTCACTAAACTGTAACCAAGCACTTCTCTGTTGAAATAAAATTAAAAAAAAAAAATTAAAAAGGACTTTCTGTGCTGGGATGGCTCCCAGGGTGACCCAGCCAGCTCCAGGTGTGGCCCTGTGGTCCCCTGTGCCCTGCCAGGACCTGGCA